TCTTAAACTGCTAAATTAGGAACGGCTAGCGCAGATAGCCCTCGTGTAGCTTTGCGCGAAATTCAAAACAAACAAACAAAGAAATCAAGAGTGATCCTTAATTTCACAAAATTGATCAACTGCCCCTTTGAGACAATGAATAATCATTGTAAACCATGCTCAGCAGCTCTGGATGGTCGCATTCCTACTAGTGAACTTCTTGGTAAACGTTTCCATATTTCTGTACCACCATGTATCATCCTACACAATGTTTATCCTCATACTGTTTGTCCAGTTTATGCTTTTGCCTCAGGTTGTTGTGCATATATATTGTGCACAGTCCTAATACACGTAAGTTGTATATCTTCATTGCTAACATACTCAGGTGTTCCTCAACCTTTTGATGTGTAGATATGATTATACATAGTATACATCTGCAAATGTTAAGGCTAGAAATTAAACAATACTATCTTATCGCAGATCTCCAGGAAGTGGAAGGAATGTACGCAAAGTGTGGTACCAGATGTTGCTGACAACGAGAAAGCACTGAGGAAGACCCTTTGCAATAACCCGGATATTGATTCTAAGGTAATATTTCTTAATTGTAAAATATAATAACATTTGCCAATTTTTCATAAGAAGCTATGTCTCTCAGGAAAAGTTTCATGTAATGAAATTTTAGCATCAATGTGTCATGTTCAGATTTAAAACTATGTCAGTGCATTTATGTAACCTTTTCATCACCACGTGAGCTTTTAAGTTATTATTATTTGTTACTCCACTAGATGATTTAACTTGATAATCGCTATGGAAGTTATCCAAATAAAATAATATTACTTGTTTAAATATACAATTTGTTAAAAGTCCAGTTTACACTGGACCATACAAATAATGGGACAAAACTGCCCTTTAACTAACGTTTTATCATTGCGTTTGCTGTTTTACACAAACGTCCAACCGCAACATGTAACGTTACTAGATAGAACCATAAGCAGCTATATGCAATTGGTCACCTTTATAGTTTTTATTATTTAGCAGAACCTATAAATACGTAACATGTATTTTTGTTGCTGTTTGTCTGTCATTTCCGTCATAGTGACAAAACTTGATGTAACTAAAACTATTTTTTATCCAGTTTTCAACTGACAAAATATTTATACTTTTAATTCTAGGTGGAAGAATGCGCAAACAAAGATAACGAATGGGTAATGTTATTCTTCCAGTTATTATGCCACTTTTACGTCTATATGTTTAATTAATTAAGCTATTGTTGCTGCAAAATTTAGTAACACTCGTACAAGGAGTTGAAGATTATTTACGTAATATTAGATCTTATAATTATCCAAGACCTCAAAAAATTAGTAGTGTAACGTTGTTAGTAGAAATACACCAAAGTAAATGCATAAAAAAATATTAATTTTGAACGAACCCTTTTAAGGTTAAATCTACGTTATAGTCGCACAGTATCCTCTGAGCTAAGATCTAACAGTTCAGATGAAAATAATAACACTTTATATATTTTAGTCTCGGGCAAGAAAATATAATTTGCTGGGTTACATACGGTAAGAATAATCCTTACATCATATAAGATAATGACAAGATAGCTGTTGATATATTTTTGTAGGATAATCTCACAGAGGAGGAGAAACATGGCATAGACAATATGAAGGTTAGTCCCATATTTTATTATCATTTCCTTATGAATATTAGTTTCGTATTTTAAGGTTTGTTTCGTGTATTATAATTATTTCCATAGTTTTTATTCTTACTATTTACAAAGAGATGAAGAAAGAAATGTTTATATATATCACACTTGGAAAGGGAAAAAGTTGTTTCTCATATTTAGTTGAATGTGTCTTTTTTTTAATCTAATATTTTCATAACATAACCAAAACAAGCAGAATACAAATTCGCAAGAATAGAAAAGCAAACAAAACAAAACAACTTAACATTAAATGTTCATGTTGCGTTTTTGAGTCCTTAAAGATTTGTTTTTCAGACAAACATTTGTTTTATTTACTATAAACTTTTATTCCAGTTTGACCAAAATAATTGATATTTTATACCATATATAGAATATTCAACATTCAGTAGTAACAAAACCGAACTAATTAACGCTACTGAAGAGCAGAGTTGATCAAGATTACTCGAAGAAAAAATAGTTCGTGGTACCGTTTTGCGCGTTCCATTAGTAAGACAACAAATTTACAAATGGAGAAAGAAATCTGACTATTCGTCATACAAAACAAGCAGACATTTAGGGGAGTGATGATCGTCAGGTATAATATACCTGCTCCTGGAAATACGTTATATCATATAAGTTCACTATGGTTTTTAACTTCTTGCATGGGGACTGAGAATATAAAAAATAGTAAAGTGTGAGGGGGAAAAAGCGGGTTATCTAGAAATGCGTTTTTAAAGTATTCAAGGAAGATTCAGGTATGTTTTTTTTATTTTGTTTTTCATGTAGCACTATAAATGTAGAAAATGGAACTGCTCGTACCATAATTAATCAATGTGTATTCCTCGTACATCTAAGTGACACTTTCTCAGATTTTTTTTATTTCACATATGATTTTTCAATACTGCCTTTTAAAGAAAAATGTTTTAAGTAGATCTAAAGCATTCATATTTGACGGATGAAGAAAATTATTTCTTAGCTTTGAATGTACATGTCTTCCCATCACAGTCTTTAGTATATAAAACATAGCTATGATTGTATATTCACACTGAGTCATGAAGAGCACATTCTCGAAGTTTGTAGGTAGTGCCACCTGGGGACGCTTACTTAGGCTATGTGATGTCATGTCGAAACTATCATTTCAGTTTTTAAAATAACTTGTTTCTGAAATCGATACGTCACTGTAACAAAACAAAAAGGAGACTAATCAACACCAAATTATTGAAATACACCGTCTTTACGGTTTTGTTGAACTGGTTTAGGTCATTACCGTAAGCGTTCACAATGTCCAGTTCAGGGGTGACGTCACATAGCGTAAGTAGCGCCCCAAGTGTCCAAATCATGAAACTCTGAAAATACGTTCCCTTGCTTCTGTGCTTGTGCCCACTTAATTCCGCTAACAAATGTGTTGCATTTTGAAAATTATAAGAAATAGAATGCGAGAAGTTACTTTAATTACACGATGCAGTTATGAGAGAGAAAACGGGTTGTTGTTTATATTTTTTAAAACATCGTTTTATTTTCTACCCATGCAGAAATGTTTCTCTGACGTTCTGAAAGACAAGAAACCCTAAACTCGAGAGCCTAGGCATCGATTAAAAGAATATGACAGGAAGAAATACAGTTTATCGTCCTGTAGTTTTGCTGCTTACTCTAGAATTCGATATATAAAGATAGTTGTGTTTACTTACATATATTAACTGTTGTATTACATAAATAAACACACTCATTGAATAACGTACGTTGTCACCGACTTTTCTTTCAACAAATTAGTACTTTCTGTGATTTATCTTGCAATCAGTTCTTATACTGACGATACTTAATTCAATTAACGAAAAAATGCATCTTTTGCTGATATTCAAAGCTATGAAATTTCATTTTTTATGTGGTACATTTTACTATAGACAAAATTATGCGTTTGTGGGTTTCGGATATCACACAAAGCTACCTAGAGGCTATTTGCCTGAGTTGCCTTTAATTTTTGAAATGATAAGTTAGAAAGAAAGTAGCTAGTTAACAGCACTCCGCCAACTTTTGGACTACTATAATTGAAAATTGGGATTTGACATCACTTTTATAATGCAACCATGACCATAAAGTGCGGGTCATGATTTTACGGCAACGGAACGCAAACAATGGGCCCTTGGATTCACAGTCAGGCACACTAACTACTACGCCTCACCAAAATCAACAAAGCTATTCACAGTCAGGCACATTAATTACTACGCTTCACCAAAATCAACAAAGCTATGAAACTTTTATGACTTAAGTTACACTTACCTTATTTTCGAAGTTCAGCAAATTTAACACATTAAGCTAGACATTTTATCATTAATCGAAATAAAATAACACAAACTATGTATCTATTCGGGATAGCCGTTTTGAACAGACTTTCGAATACATAATGTATCAGCAGTTAATTGAATTTTGAGACAATAAAAAAAGGGAAAAAGTAATACCACAAGCAGCAATATTTGTCGTTGTTTCTGTCAATGAAACGTGATTTGACAACTCTGGAATAGTTGTTTGGAATCTCCAGGGACAATGATGAAAAATATTTAACTTAAAATATGCTGAACACTAGCACGACATTTTTGTGAAAAACAAAATTACCAGAATATGCTTGAAATGTCGCTATTTTTTTTGGAGGGGGGCATTATAATTCTCCCTTACTTCCCTATCTCGGTGTCCTTCCTATCCTATGCATCTGCGTACCACAGTTTGTTTGTTTGAAGTTAAGCACAAAGCTACACAATGGGCTATCTATGCTCCGCCCACCACGAGTATCGAAACCCGGTATCTAGCGTTGTAAGTCTGTAGACATTCCGCTGTGCCACTGGGGGGCTTTGAGCTTTGAAAGCGATGCAATATTTTCCCTGTGATTCTTTGAACATTTTCTTATATTTTTAATCGTTTTTCTCTTATTTCTTCTTATTCTTCCAAACACTTTTCAATCGACCACTATTCCTTCATTTCTCGGCTGATTGATTTGAAACTTGGTAGGTTTATACTTTGGTCAAATACTCCCAGACTACTTTTTCAATTTTTTATTTATGTAAGCCTTTTTTAAATGATTTTATGGGTTCAAAGGTAAGTGAAACAACCCAAAAATGTATATTTTGTGCTCCTGTGTGTCGTTCATATTTACAGCAGTCAAGATAAAAATTAGCACAAATACAACTTTTCATGCGTACAACACATTGGCATTAAAAATGTTGGATTTCCCCATTTTGAGTCTTTTTAGGAGGGTCAGAACTCACAAAAAACCTAATTTGGGGAATTCTAGTTAATTACTCAACCGTATTTTGACCAGTTTACATGGGATTTGGTAAAAGATACTATTATATAGATTCCAAACGTTGACAAACAATAATGGCGGACTTGCCCATTTTTAGAAAGTCAAGATTTCACAAAAAAGAAAAACATAATTTTAGGGGGGTTTACAATTATTTTACCGTATTTCCGCCCATTGACATGGGATTTGGTACAAATGTACTTTTCTACAGATCACATAAACGTACATACAAAAATGTGGGATATGGCAATTTTTGGTCATTTAAGGGGGATCAAAAGGTTAAATAAAGCCATAATTTTACTTAACATTATTTCAAATAATTTAGATGGAATTTAGTACAAAGGGGCTCTTTGCACGTCCAAAACAGAGATATAAATAGTTTTGAAATGTTTGTCTTATGCTCAATTTTTCAACAAAAAAAGTACAATTTGGGGTTTTCATAAAATATTGATGTGAATGTCAACCAGTTTGCATCACATTTGGTACAAAGATACCTTCTTGCAGGTCCCAACCAGCGATATAGACAGTTTTCGATTTTTCTGTGTTTTTCATGATTTTTCTTGTGTCAAAATTAGCCGTTTTCGGATTGCGTGGCGGAGACATGTTGCATTCGCCCGTGAATGTTAGCTTCTTTAATTTATCTACTGTTTTTCTAGTGTTTCGGAAGTGAAATTTTATCAAAATCATACATCCATATCCAAATGTCAAGTTTTTTTTTCCTCACTAGATGAGATCTAAATCAATCCTCTGTCTAGAACATTCCTTATTAAAAGATGGAAATTTTCTCTTATTAAATCTGGTTTAGTCTGATGTAATTTTTCATTATACCACAAAATATTAGTATTTTGAGAAATGTAAATTAGAAAGTAGTTGTGTGATAAACAATGTATCACTGTGATCCTACATTATGTATGCATATAAAAAATATGTATAAATTGGGCATTACCACATATATATAAATTTACCATAAGTTTATATAAATAATCCAAAACGTAGTATTCATATTATGGGGTTTTGAAATAGCTATATGTTAAATAATAGATTTATTTCTGTACAACGTTTCATCTCTAACAATCAGACATGATCACGTACAACATTTAATGTACAATACATTCAATTGTTGTACAGAAATAAATCTATTGTTCCAAAACTAGCTTTTTCAAAGCTTCTTAAAAATAAAATAGTACTTATATTGTTCAAGAGATGGCAGCATAATATCTATGGGATTTCAGTCCGTTTTACTCTACCATATAATTACCTCAATTAAGAATGCATGAGGCCTCTATGTAACAGATTCTGTTTTCAGTTTCAACTCTAGTGAAAAAGAAAAGAAATGTTTAACATACATCTACAATCATTACATAGATGTTAATATATTTTTAACGGTTTCAGTAAAAAATAAGTACATCATATTTGTTTTGGTATTCTTATGTATGATTTTTTGTTATTGTTGTTGAAATAAAATAACTTAAACTGTTTTCTATATAAGAAAATTACAATCTGCTTTTCTCGATGATTATTATTGATGTACGTATTGTTATCAGTTGGGTATATTGAATAAAGCCAACATAAGGCTGAAACTTTTAAAAATTACATGGGTAGAATTAATAGATAATGACTTCTGTTGTTTGCAATTCTCTCCTTAAAACCTATTATGCTTTTTAAAGGCTTAATAACGTAAAACTTCCATTGTAACACGAATAAACGTATTCTGTTGAAATCATGCGATTGTGTCAGAGAGAGGCAAGGCGTTCGTTCTATATGATCCTAAGAAATATTGTGGATTTGGCTCATAAATAAAGTTTTAAAATCATAATTATAATTCAGTCTCAAAATGTTTTTCTTTATCTAAGACAAACACCGAAACTCAGGCATTAGAGGATAAGCTCTTTTTTTTCTTTTCCTTTTTTTTTTTAATTTTGAAGGTTTGAATTTCCTGAATCTATTCCACAAGGCGTAAGTATGACAGAGATATAAATTTAGGCACAATGTCAAAAATGTAAAAGGTCAATGTGTTTCATATCTTTTATATTATTACATGTTTTGTTTGATTCCACAGGAATTATGTCGCTACTTGTATTACAATTTTAAGAAAAGTTAAAGTGCCAAATCATCATACCTTTCACAGGGTCATTCAATATAACAAACTTACTGCAATGGAACAGGTTACATGATGCGCACTAATGACATAGGCCTGCGATGATTTTATTGTCTTGAAATTTTTATATGTTCTACAGTAATTCCTGTATGCTGCATCCGAAAATATATCATTTTTTCTCCATCACGTACAGATGTTTCACAAAACGTAATAACGCAATACTTAAAGAAAGACCATAACACGTAGTTTTGAGACTAAAAGACGTAGATTTTACACAAAAAATCAGGATGAATGAGAATGTATATTCGTTTGAGATCAATGTTCTTCCCTTTTCTTCAGTTTGTTTCTATTTTTGTTAACAAACATAATGATAAAAAATGTGTTCGTTGTGGTAAACGAAATAATAATTTGATCTAAGTAAGAGTTTTTTTTCTTCCCGATTTGTAAAAAAATTCTTACGTGATAGAAACAAAACTAATACTATTTTCGAATTCTACGTAACTGAATTATGGAAAATCCGTCATTAAACCAAAACAATTTTTATGAAGTTTAAATTCGGAGGCCCGTGTAATTGGTCATAGTATTTTTTATTTTATTATAAAAATATCATCTTTTGTGATCGGAACGTGTGAGTTTATTAAAATTATTTTGTGAAGTACCTAAGTATCCACTACATAGCTGGATGCTGGTTAGGGCGCTCGACTCCCAATCTGAGGGTCATGGGTTCGAATCCCCATCCCACCAAACATGCTCGCCCTTTCAGCGGTAGAGGCGTTATAATTCGTTGGTAAAAAAGTAGCCCAAAAGTTGGCGGTGGGTGGTGATGATGACTAGCTGCCTTCCCTCTAGTCTTTCACTGTTAAATTAGGGACGAAATTCAAACCAAACTTAAACCACCAACTACAGTTGTTTAATGATAGATAAAAAGTAACATTTTTTGTTTTAATAACGATTTTTGTTAAAATAACCAATGAATTTTTAGGAATTCACAAGGTATTAGTTTAAGATTTTAGTAATTTCGCATAAATACCTTTTCTATGAAAAATAATTGAGTTAACACAATATCCTAGTTTAACGTTATCAAAAAGAATCCATGATTTTGTTTGGTTTCGGAAATTGTAAACCGATTCCCAACAGGTCAAAAATTACACGAGGAAACTCGAAATATCTCAAAGAGGTGTGTCAAATAAACATGGGTTGTAAGGCTTATCCTTTATATATTTTATAAAATATTTATACTACATAGCTAATTCAGATATTTAACTCAATAGTCCAAGCACTTCATACTTTTCTAATCTCAGACATACACACACACAAATATATATATATATATATATACACACACA